CTATCATTTGTTGGGGCGTAGCATTGGATCATATCCATGTTGATTCTCCTCTCGTTTGTGCGGAAGGTTGCTGTGATGATCTGTGGGCCACGCCCCTCCCATCCAATTAGTGCCCTCTGAGCTGTCCTGGACAACATCAGAGCCACACCCTGGGTGTGAGGAGCATTTTCTTGTTCATGCCCTGAAAACAACAGCAGTTCCGCTGTGATCAGCCGCCTCTGACCGGAGCCAGTCCATCGCGATTCACTTATTCCTAAGATTGAGAGCCTGTAGTTCCTCATCTCTGTGGCCAACTGTGCTGTTTTGCCAGTCTCGTACATTAAAAGGGTGTACATAACGGAAGTACAGGAGGCGAATAAGTTTTGTAAGCCTTATGAGTGCTACTGAGGCTAGAAATAGTAACTGAACGTTTTACCATGAACTCGAAACTCGCGCTGGAACTCATGAAATTTGAATGTGAGTTGCTGAGAGCTTTAACTCTTTTAGAAACTCTTTTCAACTCTCAGCAACTTCCCATCCTTGTATGACATGGGCTTTACGTGTTCATAGCCATTTTCCTGATTTTCTTTGACAAATGATTTGCACAGTAAAAGCTTTACTTCTTCATTAATTTTCAATAATTTAACCTCGATGTTTCATTTCAATACTCTGCAGGAAAAAAATCGTATCAACAAGAGTGGTGAATTATACCTCACTTCTATGAAGACCCGAAGCCAGTTGAAAAACTTGGAAGATGCAATTCAGAAACTGGAAAGAATCATTGAGGAGGCATCGTATGTACCGCCAGAAACTACACTAGAGAAGAAGACTCATGTGCAGAAATTGTAAGGCATACTTCTTGTTTAAGCCCTTAATTCCCAAACGTGATATCAGTCAATTTAGAAGTCGATATTGACTAATGTATACCCTGCGAGACTCATAGGGTATGTGTCTATTGTATTACCATTCATTCAAAACCTGCTGAGGAGAATAAATTCCCAAGCAAAGGTTTATCTGGCGTGGAGGTTTTTCCTTCGAAATCCTTCTACTGAAGTTATGTCGCCAACAGTTTTCATGTGGGAAATATTATGAATGCGCCGGGTCAAGTGTTCTGGGTTCAAACCTTGGTCAATCTAGGTTGATCACTGCTGTGTTATCTTTGGCTAGACCCTTCACTTCAAAGATTGCATGCATGCTTTCAGATTGGATGTACAATGTTACATTTTACATACAAAGACGGTTCAATCCAAGATTTAGAGGTATTGTTTTCCTAACTTGTTTTATTTGTTACCTTACAGAGTTAGAGTGGGTCATCAAAAGCGCCTTCTTGCCAAGAAGTACCTATCAAACAAGAAAAGGGATAGGAAGCAGGAATGAGTCAAACGTGGACAGCACGGAAAGTCAACGATCAGGATAAAGAAAGAAACGAATAATTATCACAGTCGTGCCTGAACGAGTTGCCAAGGAAAAGCTTTTATACGAACATGACAACTCACAGGGGCCACTGAAAACTCTTAATTTTTATGTACTGAGATTTCTTTGAACAGACCGGCATGAAATCCCCTTAGAAGCTCTTAGACCAGCCATCGGAGCAGTTTTCTGGGGCGTGTCTGAAAAACCTAAACGAAAAAAATCCTATCAGGCCATTCGGCCGATCACGACAGACCACCAATCATAACTTGACGTGAAAAACAAGCCACCAGTGCCAAGCGCAGGAAACCGCGAGTTCTGATTGGATTTGGGTTTGCTTCTGTGATTGGCTAAAAAGAGCAGCATGTTTCACCTGATTAACTGAAGCATGCTACGTGAGTTAAAAAACACTAATCAAGCAATCAAGTAAATATAAAACTTCTATAGACTATTGCCAAATAAACCAAAACTTTTCTCACTCGAGTCAGATTCAAGTGATCAGTGTGGTTTTTCTTATCCCATTTTTGTCCATGGTTAGATTTGTTCTTTGGAGGATTCTTCAACTCCTAACTTCTAGTAGTTGCGTCATGATCATACTAGAACACAGGCTCTCTTCTGTTAAGATGGATGAGCGTGGCTCTGGCGCGAACTTTTAAGTTCGAATTTAAGGGGGCAGGGGATGGGGAGGATGGGAATCGTAAAAGAAAGTTTTGGGCCTCTGAGCTCTAAAGAGATGGCAAAACCGTAAAAGCCATGTAGGCCATATAGACTCTAACAAAGACCCGTAAAAACCATGTAGGCGATATAGACCCTGACAAAGAATTTCTTTGTTAGATTCTATATTACCTACATGGTTTTTATGGTTTCGATATCCCTTTAAGGACATTCGCGCGAAATTGTTCTATTCGATAGATTTTCTTCAAACTTCTACTGCGGACAGATAATGATTTACTTGTTTCAGAAGTGAAAAAAAAATTGGGAGTCTCGGACTTAAAGCGTATGGAAAACTAGTCTGATTATCAAATATTAGCGCGCGTAAATCGGCATGGTCTCCAGGGTTTTTAGCTTAAAATATTTATAAAAGATGAATCAACGGACACAAACTATCCTAGTATTATTTTGTATTTAT